CAATGCAGTCAATGTGTAGTAACCATTGCATATTACAATGCAGAATACAAGCAAAATGAATAAAGTGAACCATTTTACATGAATACGATTGTAAAAGTGTTTGCGATTACACAACACTCAAAGGGTGCTTTTCAACATACCTGATCAAAGGGTCGTAAAAGCATCATATTATGAATAACATTATATTGTGATTTGATATTGGCTCATCACAAAAACCAAATAACTCTGTGCCATGAGTTAACCTAAAAGGATTGACTTGATATACAAAAACAAATACAATCGAATGCTTCGAGTTTCATAATCAACATCAGTTTCAACACTACTTTTGTACCAATTGTTTAAGCCCATTGATCAATCTGATGAAATTGGTTGATATTTTACTCGTACTGAGTGCGACAGCAACCGCTAATGCAATACTGATACCGACTGATAACAATAGTCCGCCCCAAACATCAGGCACTTCCAGTCAAGTGTCTGGTCCAACTAATGAACCCAGTCCAAACACTTCTGACCAAAACTGGCAAAACATAGTTATTCAACCCGGTCTAAGCATCTCCGACAAATATTGGCAATACCTAATAGATGAAGTTGGTTCAGACACCCTCAATGACTGGAAAGAACTGTTTGATATAGCTGACTCGAATACTCCCAAAAAAGGTCAGCAACAGTCAATAGGTCAACCTAGTTCAAACACTTACAGCCAGGGTCGAAAACGTCCAACTGATAAACTTGATCCAGGCACTTCCGAAGAGCAATGGCAAGACATAATGGATCTAATCAATTCTGACACTTGCAAAAAAGGTCAGCAACAGCCAGTAAATCAACCTAGTCCAAGTACTTTCAAACAAAGTCGAAAACAACCAACTGATAAATCCAAGTCTGGCATTACTGGCTTAAATCAAAAGACTCTATCGACCCAAGATCAGAACGCACTTGACTTGAAAGAAATCGAGACGTCTAGAGAAATACGAGAGAAATGCCAAGCCTATTATGATTATGTAACTATTGAATTGAAACAAAAGTCAGCGTTGGCAAGAGGCGAAAAGATATCTGAACCAAAGCATAAGCCAGAAATCCAAAATATATTGAGAGAAGAGTGTATTTCACCAAATGACAGAATAGTAAAGGCAAGACAACGATTGAAAGATTTGATGGAAAAGCAGAATCAGGAGCGGAATCGGATTTTGAAGACGCTTTTGAAACTCGAAGATTTTGAATAATTTTAAACTTTATTTTGTTGATATTTGCAAGTATTGTAAATGAACCAAAAATTATAATATTGATTTTGTATTGCATGTTTGTGTATATTGTGTTGAGTATTACATTGACAGTTAATGGATTGTTGATTGATACATTGACACGGTTTATTACATATACATTAATGACTTGATAACAACCAGTGTTGATTGTAACTATCAGTCAGACTTGCAATCACTTGTCAGTTGCATGATATCATCAACTGACCATGTCGTGTATTGTACAACAAACGTATCAATACACTTGTTCAAAGTCGGATGTAGATTGCAACATCAACTGGTTTGATATTGGTCAATTAGTGTTGTTTTATGACAGTTTACAATGTAATATATGTGGTGTGGTATTGATGGTGTTGTATTGACAACCGTATTCGTGTCAAATGAATCATTTTGATATCCATCATGCAGTGACTGTGTTATGCATTGCAATATACAATGGTTACTACACATTGACTGCAATTGCGTGTTTGATTATAACAACCATCATGACACACAATCAGACTATAGTGTTGAATCTACACGTTGTGCACTCTTAGTAATCATACATTGTACGATCATCAAATTTGGACTCGGATTCATGTATTGCAATCGATATGTTGTGCTTGACTATCGATGTTGTCAATACAACTCTGTACATTTGTTGTGTTCTGAATCTCGAATACGATCGCGATCTAGTTCAACAACAATGGTTGTACATGTCAGTAATGTAACTATTGTTTGCATGTCAATCACCACCAACAATACCGCTGTATTGTCAATCAGTCCACGACACTGTTATTTAGTGATCCATTTATGTCAATACGACTGCAAGTTGTCGTTATATGACGTATTCTGAGCATGGTTTTGATATTGCACATCCAGTTCCATCACATTGTTGCTGGCCCATCATTGTAACACTGTATGTCACTATAACCATAGTCATGGACATGGACATGAGCATGTGGTTTCATGTATAATATTACAACCATGCATGTCGTTGGTCGAATCATCACTACTAGTGTATACTACACTACACTACATGTATGTTGACATGTGCTGTACCAAGTTGGTTGCATTGCTACAATGTGGCATGTGTTGACCTGTTTGGATTACAGTTGTGCAACATATTGATACTGTACACATGACTATTGTTGGTATTGCATGTCATGTCATATTGACAAGCAATATCATATCGACACAATACACACATGCATGTCAGCATCATCAATGTGTACAACTATGCAATATATGATCAACTGTATTGTATTGTATTGTGTTGGAAATACAAGTCTCAATGTACACTATGATATCATGCCAACCAAGACTGTTTACAATAATCAGATACAATGCATGCAAATCCAATATCCAATATCAAATATCAAATGGTAATCATATTGTATCATATCGTATTTTATTCAAATAAAAACACAATCGAGTCAGTCGAAACCAGTTCAGATTAGCAATCAAATCAAACGGGTGATTCATCTGAATCTTCAGAACTGGGTGGACTCGAAAATGATTTGCGCTCATTCTTGGATTTGGAAGTTTTCCATAAACGAGAAAATCAAGAATGGGATTTGGAAGATTTGGAAGATTTTTGTGTACTGGATGATGTTTGAGTGGGTTGGTCTGTAGACGTTTTGCTTGATGATGATGGACTTTTATGATGTTTTGATTTGTTCTGGGTTCCACTAGTAGAGGCTTACTCCGATCCCGACTGTTTGTTTAGTCGGAGAATAAAAGATTGGTAAATATCTTCAACAAAACTGGGATTTGATTTCAGAAATTTGATTCGAGAATAAAGTGATGCTGTACTTGGACCATTTTGGAACAGGAGATCTGCAAGTTCTTTTCTGGCCATATGAAGCAACAAGCCAGCGTGATAAAGATTTTTATCGAGTTTCAGACGCTTTTGTTGAAGGCTGAATAATTTTTCGTTCTCTTCATTAAGCTTCTGTTTAATTTCTCTTTTCTTTTCTTGATACACTGGATCATTCCTGTTCGAATATTTTAGTGACAGTTTGTAATTCTTTCCACTTAGGCGTCTTAACAATTCTTCTTGATTGAGCTCTTCAGATTTGGCCGAGTCGCACGCTTTCTTTGCCTTTTCACGTTTTTGATCCTTTTCTAGATATTCTTTGATCAACTTCACATCATCCTTTGAGAGTTTACTAAGATCAACTGAAAATTCAGATCCTTCATAAGAAAGTACCCGATGCTTAGATTCGTCACTTTCAGTTGCAGTTGGGATGACGGTTGAAGTGCTAGCTTCAGCACTTGTAGTTGCACTTGTAGTTGCACTTGTAGTTGCACTGGGATTGACTGGTTTGGCTGTAGTGACCGAGCAAGCAAACAAGATTGATGCCAATACTGTGACTGCGAGTTTCATTTTACTGGTTTGTATTGATCAAACAAGTTGTAATTATTGGTATTCAACAAGCAAGGCTGGATTGTATTTATATCCATTATTGGATGGATAATATTAAAAGCATATTGGATGACCGTTCTAAGGGATTGGCTTTATTATCAGGGTTGATGGTGATTTGACATCAATATCCAACTTTAAAGGGATATCCATTTATATAACAACCGCAATATTGGTTGGACCGTTGCTTGACTATGCATTCGAGTATCATATGATTGATTGTGTATTCCACCCTTATTCACCCTAAAAAGGGTTAGTGAGCTGAAATATGAACAAATGCATGTTTAAACAAGACCATCTAACAACTGAATGTCACTCAGTTGTTGGATGGTCATCAATATGTGTTGTGGTTGACATGATTCAAACATGTCGTGGTTTGGTGATACTTTGCATTCAACTCGACACGATCAATCATCATTACATATTGTCCAGTAATTCAATCAATCAACTGAATCAATGCAATGCAGTTCATGTTGCAACTGTTGTGTTGGCATTGATGATCAATGACTTGCAACTGTTGTGTTGACATTGCATGTTGTGTGTTATTATATCAACATCGATTATCACTATATAGTTGTATCAACCACACATTATGATCATATGTCATGGTTGACTCGTATTCTGGATTGATGCACTCATTCCACTCCACTCCATTGTATTCCATTGCATCACTCGAACACAAACATCGTATGACTTGTTGATTACTAATACCCATATTGATCGAATACACACTACATGACACATGTCAGATTAGCGTATACATTCCACTATATAGCACATCATGTTGCTGATACCACGCATTGTGATTCAACAGTCAATCTGTATTCGAGTTCAACTACAATTGATCGTGTCAATCATAATATACACGACCAATTGTAGTCGAGTTAATCCGACTGAATAGAGTCCGAGTCATCATGTTCATATCAAACTATTACAACTCATTGTTGTAAAATCAGTCTTGTTGCTTGTGGGCATATAACTACGTGTTCGTGTTGTACATAGTTGGAAAATAAGTCACAAAAGTAAAAACATGATTGTGAAGGAATGAACCAATGTATGAATTGTGTTGTTTATTAATCAGAAGCAAGTATCGATTCTTTTATAAGAAAACGAGGACGGTTATGTATATCAGTGACTTGGACGTTATAACTGAAAAAGTCCCTAATTACCATATAGTTATTGCATAAAAGGTGGCGATATTCATCGTCTCAAACAAGTACATCTTGCATATTTCACATTAATTGCCTAATACGTTTCACATTACCAATGTTTAACAAATTATGGACTGAATATATATAGTAACAAAACTGGTTGTTTATGCGATAAAATATATCATTGATCATATTATAGTCGATATGGTGTATGTCGTTTTACATCATATAGCTTTTACACTAATGATAATGGTTGCCACAATGGTGTCAGCACTATGCTTGAAACACTAAAACTCTCAATTCCAACAGTATTGTGCTGGTTGACTGCATCTATGGTGTCAATCAATGTCAATCAGTAATGCATTTGTATTGATCATGACTTGTGTGCAGTGATCTGGCAGTATCGTGATGTATGGTATCATGATCAATGCAAACCATTACTTGATCAAACACGGCAATTGTGACTGATTACAATCTATAATTGGATGTGGAATACAATCACAATCACAATTGGCAGGATATTGTGTGCAATAGCCATTGTTGGTAGTTCAATCAGGATATTCCAACAAGAACAACCAATTGTTGCATAGTTGTCAATATGTGCATAGACTGTATTTGAATTTGTATGATAGCAAGTCATTGAATAACCTGATTTATATACAGATTGACCAATAAAGGACAAATGGGATCAATTTAAACTGCACAAAATATGACCAACCAAACAATCAGTCAAGTATTTGGTATACAGTGACAGTATATGTTGTAGTAATGGATTGTATATGTGATGATAACTATCCATAATCAAGGTGACACTATCTGATTACTGGATACATGACCGCAGTTGAAAAGATCATTCTAGAATATTACCGAGGTTGATCATACACCAACAGCGATGTTTGTATATTGATCGATTCCATGGTGTATTTGGCGTTTTCTGAATATCCATTTCAAAAGTGCTGATTGTCACCCTTGAAGCTGCCGTCGTTATAAAATAACAGTCATGTATCAGATTCAAAACATTTTCATCAAACTGATCGATGCAATGCATTGCAACATTGACAAGCTATGCGATCGTGTGTTTGATTATTTTGTGATTCAATAGTGCCAATATCCAATGACTTACAATTCTGATTGTGGTGGAATGATTGACTCTACATGTTGAACCCTTTGCATTGTCCTGGTGTTTGGAATGACGATCGGTCATCATGTGTTGTTGTTTAATCCAGACTATTGGCTGGTTATTACTTTGAACATGTCAGAATTGACAAATGTTACACTGGTAGCATCTACTTTTGCCTGTAAAAATACAAATCACTTGTTGCGGAACATGTTTGGATCTTGGCAACTATGTCTGTTGTTGAATGGAGTGAATGCATTCATGCATCTGTCTTGTTATCGTCAGTATTTCCAAGTTTAGCATCAATTCAGTTTTGTGCAAAACCCATCAATATACACAAATGGAGTTGTGTATGCAATGCAATGCAAGAATATTTATAATGACGACTGGATTCCTATGTTTTGGAACAAGTTCTATTTGCAATTACGATTCATGATGATAAAATTGACCATTGAGCTCATATTCAAGGTTCCGTGTTTGGTGTTGGTTGCATATGGCTAATCAAAGTTATTTTTGATTTTGAAAATCCAATCTGTATATCAATCTCATCTTGAAACTTTATTGAAGGTTATTTCTAATTAAATTCAAAAAATCCCAAACACCGTTGCCAATTTTGTCAAAAAACTCGGGAGAGTTTTGACTATTGATGATTCTCATACCTTGAACATCAACAGGGTTCTTTTCAGCAGTATGAATAACCAGAGTCTGTTGCAATGAGTAGCCTGATTCGTGTAGTTTCGACAAAGTGCTAAGAAGGTAAGTTCGTTTTTCTTCAAACCCTTTCAACACTTCAAGTTTTTTCGACACTCCATCGCCATTACGTTTGCAATAAAAGCGTTCAGGATCTGTAGTATTGTAAGCGTTTGCAGCTTCTTGTTTTGACATTTTCTTGACAAATTTGATTTGAACAATGTATACAGTCTTTGTATTGGCACACTTGTAGATGATATCTGGTCCACACATATGATCGGGAAAGCATACTTGACTTGAATCATCACATTGTAAATAGTCGGATGCAGAATCTCGGGATGCCTTGATACTATTGGCAGCATCAGAACCAGAATGGTTGGCTACTAAAGCAAACGCAACCAAGTATTCCATCAAATAGCCAACCATTTGAGGGTTAAAAGAGGAGCCAATTCTTTGGTATAAACTTTTGACAATGGGCGCAAAGGGGAAAAAGTAGCGAAGACACTCGATTACAGCCAACTCTTGAATTTCAATGGAAGATATAGTTCCATCGACAGTCTGACCAAATCCCAAACCGTAACGTATTGCATTAGCACCGTCATTGTCTGCCACTTTAAGTTGCATTTTTCCCTCCCAAATGGCATCAAGAAATGCGTCGCGAATGATTCTCGACAGGGTATCACCATCAATGACTCTGTCAAATGAACGAATGCCTCCATCAAGGTCATTTTTCAAGAATCTAAGCGGGAAAATCTGGCCATTAATATTAGATATTCCAGTGATAAATTTGCTAATTGCAGTGTCAATATCATTTGATTTCATATATGCATCCAGAATATACGATACGAAACGTGGTCTTCCATGACATAATTCAAAGTCTGAAATTCTTGATACAATAGCATCCAGTTGATTGACTTGATGGTCTTGTAAAAATTGTCTAGCATACTGTTCGACCTCGAGCTTTGTCAAAGGATGGAAATCTGATATAACTACATAATCTGTGACTTGACCACTCTTCATAACACTGGATTCCATTAGCTCTTTGATAGATTCAAAGTCAATACCGGTACCAGACAGTAGGAAATGAGGAAATATTCCCATCATTTTGGAATGGTATACAAATGGAGAGAAGAAAGGACGTGGGGTTTTACTCCCTGGCAGGCAATGTAAACAAAGACCTTCTGCAAGATCCTGGATTTCATCAATGGCAGTAAAAGGAAATGGGTTTATAATAGCAGTTGGGGAAATTCCAGGATCTTTTACAAGGATTGTAAAAAGACGCTCAAACAAGTCAAGCCCAAAGAATGCGATAGGATGGAGTTGAGCCAGAAGAATTTGCCAAGGTTCCTTGAATCCCTTGCTTATCAAGTAGTTGCAAACAGAAACCCGAACGAAACACAACAGTTGGATAGCATGTTGAGTGAGTTCAGCGAGTTTAGGTTTACTGTCGCAATACATCCGGCATTGATACATGTCTTTAGAACCAAAGTCTTTTTGAGAGCTCTTGGAAGTGAAGTAGTACCCAAAGTTTGAATAAAGCAACTCTAGAAGCATCCTTGTTTTTCCTGCACCAGAAACAGCAAGAAACAGTTTGACATTATCAACATCGTCAATCGCATAGCTAGTGCTCCTCCTATTAAGACGATGCTCCAAGCAATTGTCGTGAAATACGGCGTTATTTGGAAACCTTGAGACATTGACAATCTTTTCCAGATGATATATCAAATACTTGAAAGCGTCATTTGGGGTTTGCAATGCCAAATTATTGGCGTCGACGAATTCTTGGTCACTTTTACTCCGTACAAAATTACTCTTGGCCTTGATGACAAGCGGTTGGTCGTAGGAACCAACCGGTTCCTGGATGGAGGTCAACAGAGTATTCCCAGCAATGACTGGACCATCCACCACATAATGGATGGTGAGGGGACCATAGTCTTCTGGGATACCAGAAAGCCTTCTAGTTGGTTCAACAACGATGGCTACAACCAAGTCAGCAACAGTAAACAGGGTTTGAACCCAGACAAAAGTATTGGTGTTGAGAATATGAGTTCTCAAACCAACTGGCTGGTTGTGGAGGTATTGAATGTAAAATTGTCTGTTTTCCATTGAAATTATGAAATAAAAGAGATATGGTAAAAAGAAATGGAATAAAGTGGAGTAGAATGAAGTGAGTAGAATAAATAAGAATGGAATGTAATGGAATGAAGAAAGGAAAAAATTGGACTTTAAATCCAAAATTTAATTGTTTGAAACAATGTGAAACAAATTCACATGCTTTGAATATTAAACATTTTTGTGTGAAATTAAAACTGTCAAATTGTATTAATTTGTCATGTATTCAAATTCACACATTTTGAATAGTGTTTAAACATTTGTCATGTGTTTATTTGTATTGTTCAATCGAGTGTCAATTCAACTCAATTGATTACGTCATTCATATAATGACTCGAATCTTTTATTCAACATTTTAATATTTAATTATTGTTAATCAGTCAATTGTTGGATTGGTAAATATGTTACAAAACATGCATTTACATGCTGAATCTGACAAGTGGATAATGATTGTTCCAATCAACAATTGGATTGAATTGACTGCAATATTGTCATTGATCTCAGTCACTGTTGACCAATACATTGTAATACATTGACAGTCTCGACATCAACATTGTCATTCATGTCAAGTTGTGTGTAGTTGCCAACATCACACCACAACAATACTGTTGCTCTTGGACGTATGACAACATATTAATGTAGTATAGTTTTGGAGGAATATCACAAAAGTAAAAGATGAGAATGAAGGAATGAACCAATGAGTTAATTGTGTTGTTTATTGATAAAAGAAAACATTGATCATTTTATAAAGATATAAATAACGGTTATGCGTATCCGTGAATTAGACGTCATAGCTGAGAAAGTCTCTTGTTATTGCACAAGTGATGGCTGCGATAGACATCGCCTCAAACATATATGCGTCGCGTACGAGTCTCTGAAATATCTCGTTATTTATGATATTTCACATTACCAATGTTTAACAATTCTGACACAGTAATGCGGACTCGTGCACCGAGTTGAGTTGTCCAGCAATCGATTTTAGAAATGTGTTTGATGTGATGGTTTGAGATGAATGCCAAATGACCACGAATGTTACCAATTGTCATGACAGTTGATTGTTGATTCAAAACGTTGTTTGTTTGGTATTAATGGTTAGAGTGTCACTCATTGACCTGTCAGATCAGCAAGTGTTATTTCGGTGAGTTTTGTGTTTATTGTAGTCACATCAACATCAGCAGATTGCACTACGGATTTGCTTGACAGAGTTGCAGATCCAGTTGGATTGATAGGCGAGCAACTGTGCAAACAACTGTGCGAGTTGCAGGATGTTTGAGATCCAACAAAACACTGCTTGCACACAAGTTCGCGAATGCAGATTGCCAGACTTGACCACCAACTCGCAGTATAAATTGCGTGTACGACAGTTTACACGCTTACCCATCAACAATAAACCCACATAATCAGTAAATCATCAACGAGCAGCCAGCTCAGTGGTCGGGTTGATGTTTTTTATTGGAGTTTTTGGATCAAACTTGACCTGATTTGTACCGAGTTGAGTCATGACTACAAGTTTGACAGCAATAGATTGATCCACTAATAATCTGATCGTGTTGTTGATTGTATGCATGTTGGTAATCCGTTGCAGATTGATACGGAATGTGACCAGAATACCACAAAGTTTATTGAGTGTGCACATTGAATTCGATGCAAAACGCAATAAACAAATGCGAGTTGCAGCATTCATTCAAGGTTTGACACCAGTCGATACAGCATTGACCGCAATGGCATTTATGTCAACAATTGCACGATTACGGAATAAGTCGATTGTTGCTTGGCATTCCGTATCGACAGTCTGCGTGTGTGTGCAACGTGCTGTTGTCGCATATAAACAACTTGGATTGACTTTATGGACAAAACACAGTCACTGTTGCGGTGATGTTCACAGTCGTGGAAATGGTTTCGAATACCGCAACTGGTATAACAACTACAGGTGTTGGTGAGCAACCAGAGTCCAGTTTGACCAAGATCTGTTCCAGTAATGATCGAATGACATTGTCGTGTTTGGTCATCATGACAACAATGTCATTGGTTTGACTCTGCAACTGACCAAATGCGCTAGTCACAGCGGCCATATCAGTTTTCAAGGATACAACTTGCATGGTGAGGTATTTGACTGTTTGTCGCATTTCGTCCATCGATATGAAAAAATCAACGTTCCCAATCGAGTTCATATTACCTCGAATTGCCCTGCCAGTAGTTTGGATTGGACTGATACCACGCAAATTGTTGGTCTGCGTGTACACTGACAAATCGCTGTTGATCAATCGCATGCACACAGATTCAGTTACATATACCAGTCTAGTTGCATCAAACGCAGATGCACTGTTTGAATCAATCGAGAGCACCTCATATTTGTCATGGATGCATTGGGTGGTCGAGTAAACGGTACTGGTTGATTGATGCGGTGATATTGCCATGTTTTCAGCAATCATGAGTTTGGTCCAGTCACCACTGCAGAGACTGCAAACACTGAACAGGATCTGGTTGAGTACCGTGATTGGGTCTTATTTTTGACTGTAGTGGATGTTTTGCTATCAACGATTGTTGAACCAGAAACTTGTAACTCGCGCACATACTCACAGAGACTGATAGAATCACTCAGTCATGACATGAGCTGCCACACTTTTGATCTATCAGCTTCACCGGGAAGCTTACTGCTTGTGTACTGCATCTGGTCAGCCTGTCAAATATAAATAGTTGACACATACCAATAAATAAAACATTAGTCAATCATAACTATACAGTTGTATCAATCCAGCACAGCTTGTGCAATTTCAAAGCTAAACCCAAGATTTATACTAATACAACCAACTTACTTTATACCGAGTTTCAAAAGGCGGTTTGTCACACGCCAAAACCCGTTTAGCATAGCTGTATGACAGCATAGATGCTTGAGCATCGGTATAATGCTCAACGGGTCCTGATGAATGGCTAGCCACTGCTGAATCTGGTGCAATGGACTCTGCAGTATATATGGTTGATACTGTAGAGTCGCATTGCTTTCCAGACTGCAGTATCCTAACTGCCTCAATCAGGGACGAGACTATAATGTAAATGTTTTAAAACAATCAATCAATCAGTCAATATAATCAGTATAGTTACCATTAACACACTACAGCCTAAACAATCCACAATACATGCATTCACATCCAAAACTCGTGAGAAATTGATACAAAAAT